GTATTTGATAAGATTTAAACCATCCTAAGGTACATAAGTGAGCGAAGGTTTTTATTCGTGAAACTAGGCTTCTAAAGCTGACTATACTTTAAAAGAAAGGGTTAGAACCCTACATACCTTCGCCCTAGACCCGTTACGGGTCAACCATACCTATATCTAAACATAATACACGGACATCTTGGTCTGGACCAGTAGTCCTCAAACACAGTCGTGGTAGAGGCAGTAGTCGGTGCAGAGGTAAACACTCGAGATGCTTCCTTGAAAGGTCCAACTCTAACTATCGGAAACTAACTGGCATAATGCCCAGTCCCATCAGAAGTCAAGCATCTGATGGCTGAATCTCTATATGGATGGTAGAAACGGCACTCCTTCGGGTAATGACCCATCTCGCGGCAAATGTAGCAAAATTGCTCCCACTACACGGGAGATGGAGCCAAAAGCACCTCCTTCTCAGGCCTCAAGGTATCACCTTGTCTGATAACGTCATAGTCCCTCTAAAGTGAGGTAAGCGGAGAATCTGGAAGGGTCGGATAGGTAAAAGCCGGAATCAACGACGACACCACAAGATCACTCGAGAAAACTTGATCTTCATCAGGCAACACAATTCGGAGAAATTACGGATCCGAATCCAGGAAGGGTCTAAACCGGACTATCGGGAAGGATACCGTAATCCTCCCACATAGTCATCTCCGGCTCAGCCTCTGACTCAACCATCTCATACTCCTCCAAGTCAATGACATGAATAGGTGTCTCCACACGCTCTTCCTCGTCCTCCGAGTAATCTGTGAACAAAGCAATCACACCATCATCCTCTCCTGGACCCATCTCAATCTCAGGAACACTAAGATCTGTAACTCTCCTCAGTGCAGTCTGAGAGACCTCAAGAACATGCACTGGGACACTCGGCCCCGCCTCCGCATCCCACCTAGACAACTCTAAGGTACTCGCCTCTCCAATAGGTCGGTATTGGAACTTGTTCAACAACGGATTAACAATTCCCTACACTCTTAGACATAGAAGTCTAAAAGACATTTGCACCTTTATACTACATCGTCATGCAACGCTTGGTCGGGCATGACCCGCTCCAAACTTTTGTAAGCTATAACGTTACGGAGTTTCATACAATGCACAACAAACATATGAGAAATCATAGTCTGCTTAATACTAGTAATCTATCACATAAATACTAGCAACCTAATAAGACAAACAAATAGTCTAACTGCCCTAGTATAACAGTTATACCAATTTATTGGCAGCATAACAGTTATATAGAAAAATAGGCAGCGTAACGTTTATACTATTGACTAACCTAACCACTTTGAAATACAAAGTAATCATCATCAATCAAGCATCAACACAAGCAAGATATATAATGATAACCCGATCACAAAACTTATCGTATAACCGAGGATCCAATTAATTAATATACCTCATAAATATATAAAAAATAAATAAATAAACTAACCACCTAATCGTGTGCTATTTCACACGACCAAGAACTTACTAAAAATAAAACGTAGACGTGTGCTACTACACATGCTTCGGAAACTTACCTTAGCTCGATGACTCTCTCTAAAATTTACTCGATCTCCGACGTCTAACTACTTTACCCGGAAAAGCCTCGACATTACTTGGAAGCTCTTCACCCGACACTTGACAACTCACTCACGGACTCTCGAAGAAATTTTCTCGGGTTTTTGGCGTGAATGGGAACTAATGGCGGTATTTATAGTTTCCTAAGGTCAGTTTACCTTTTGGTGGAGGGTGGAACACGTAGGCTGAAAAATCGTATGGTCCCGGTTGCGACACGGCAGGCTACGGTGTTGAACTGTCGGACAGACATGTGTCCGCCGTGACACCAAGCTAGCTCCGGTGGCAACATGTGGTGGCAAGGTGGTTCGGGTGGCGCATCACGGACCATTCGTTCAGTAAAGCAGGTTACAAAGCAGCTTACCCCACAAGCAGCTCAACGACACAACCACTTCTCGTCCACATATTCTAGAGGCTGCTCAAGCTGCTCGACGACACCGGCTATTTCTCGACCACAAAATCTCACAACTAGCTTACACAGCAATTTCCCTTTAAGCACCTTAATCAGGCCCGGCGGAGAGGGTAAGCCAGTGAAGCCACCGATTAGGGTCTCAAAATTTTGAGGGCCTTTTTACCTAAAAATTTGTTAAGTTTTTTTATATACAATAATTTTTGTAGGGCCTTTTAAAAATATTGTGGGTTTTTAGAGACAACTACAACATTTTTTTAAGGGTAAAAATCTAATTTAAAAAAAAAAAAATTATGGGCTTTAATTTTGCTTAGGGCACCCAAATTGATCGGGCCGGCACTGGTCCTTAATGACATGTTCGCCTCATGACCACACATCTCTCCGACGACCAAACAGATTATGATTGTGTCCGAATTCGATGCGTGTTCGTCCGGTACCGTACCATTTTTGCCGGAACTGATGTGCATTGTCAATTTTTGATTTTTTTTCATCGACCATCTTAAATTTTTCTTCGATAGCTATTCGTCAAACAAGTCTTAGTCTTGGTGAGGAGTATTACATCCTCCTCCCCTTAATAAAATCCGTCCTCGAATTTTGCTTTTACGGTGTTTTCTAGAACTTCTTTGAAATGTTGACAACGTATCCTCTGGCTACTTCTGCTCTGACACCACGCTTGTACCACTTCCTTTTACTTTAGCTTCTTCTTCGTCTTTTTATGGCAACGGTTCAATCTTGTCTTGATGGTGGTGACTTCTATAATCTTCTTCATTATTTTATAGCAACCTCTTTGGATTTCTAAACTACTTAATCTTCTCTTCTTAATTCATCGTCGATGATCTTCCTTTCTTCGTTATGGGTTGCCATTCTTCTTGTCATGAACCATCTTAGTATCACTCCTCTCTTTTGATTTTTCCTATAAGTCTTCTCTTAATTTACAACACGTTTCATTGGATATAATTTTGCACTTGGCTCTTGTTGTCACTCCTCTGTTTTTTCTTTTCATTCTTTAAACTACTAAAAGTTAAGTAAGAAGTTAATTACAAAAATATATATACCAAAAGTAAGAATTTAAGATAATAGTAATTTTTTTGTTTAAAAAGATAATAGTAAATTGTCAATGAAAAAAATAAAATAATAATATATAATATCAAACAATCTTAGTTATTTCCATCATCGTTTCATTAATCTTTTTCAAGCAGCAAAATGATTTGATCAAAATGTAAAATAACACAAATAACACATTTTATTTAACATATGATATACATATAAAATTTTAGTTAACATTTTTGAATAAAATTGATATATTTTAAAACAATTTAATTAAAACCAATTAACTAGATATGTTTTAGAAATGTTAATTAAAACCAATTAACATTTTTGAATACAATTAAAAAAATAATACACTTCTACAACATATTTAAAACCAAAATTTTGAGCCGGGTTAATACCTAGTTAATTGTTTAGTTGAGGTTTTTTTTTCACTAAATTCCCTATATAATATAACCCATCACATATACACCAATGAAATAAACAATTTCATAGTTTATCAATCAAAGTGGCAAATGTTTGTTCTTTGTTCTAATCATTAGAAGTAAATAAGAGGATGAACCAGATGTGTTTCTGATTACAATAGAACTCTTAGTTCCCTGGTAAAGAATGAATCGAATTAAGAGCTAACAACTTGATTAAAACTTGGAAAAAAACAGAGAAAACTAAAAGATAAAAGACTTGCAAAACCAGTTCGTGGCACTACCAAAACTTTCCTACAAGTTGGTCTGACCTTTCTGCGAGAGAGGTTTATGTACATCACTCTCTCCTAGAGTTAAATTCACCTGCGGTAATCTTCAAGTAGAAAGTTTTTGAAACCGGTCCCTTTCAGTGTTGTTTGCACCTCTTCCCAATTTTGTACGTGTTTTGACAATGGACCATGATGAATCTTCACTTGCCTACTCTTTAAATCGAGTTTCGGGACCTTTAGAAACTCTTGCACATCATCTAGTTTCTGCAGAAGGGAAACAAAAAAACCGGGCTCAACTGTGTGCAGTGAAATTAGTTAGGAACCTTGTGAAAAACCAATGTTCTTACAGTGCGGTTCTTGACAACATCTTCGTAGTAGAGGAAGATATGCCGGGTGGTGTTAAAGTAAGCAAGTGCTTTTGAAGTCATCTCTTGAACCTGCTTCAGATCAGGTATCAAAAGGGTTGTGTTGATCAATGGTTTGTAGCGCGCCAATATCTCAGCCTGAAACCAATTTGTTTCACTTGTTTAGGATTACAGAGTCAAATGTGCAGACAATGCAAAGAGTAAAAGGTAGAGAGAGAGTGTGAGAAACCTCTTTAGGGGAATGGACGTGGGACTTGTGAGTACCGTGTAATGGCTTAGCATCTCTATCGTAAGAGTTTGCAAGAACTGAAATCATCCGGCGCAAGAGGTTTCTTCTAAAGAGGAAAATAGCAGACACGCCTCGGGTCTTGAAGTATTCTACTATCTCTTCATGGTGTTTCATTAGACCCTGCATATGTTTCATCCCCAACAACCAATCACATTACAACGTAAACAAGATGAAACACAAAATGAAATAAGAAGAATCATGTGAGTTAAAAGTATAAGGAATCCACCAATAACCCAAGTTATGAGAACTAACAAGGTAAGCAAACACATTAATGCTATTGGAACTCGATTCTTCTTTTACAGAGATCAGAACCATCCGACTACAATCAAACACATGTGTCAAGGGCGAGAAGTACAAACAAAAATCAATCAAAACCAGAACCCTATCCTTCTTTATGGCAAACCAGTCAAAACATTTTATCAGCGATTACAATCACAAAACAGTTCTTCCCAAAGCATAAAATTCTCTTTTAGGGATCTAACGCAAAAGATTGCAGCGCTGATCTAAAACCTATTATAGCTCAGTCCTATACTGAAATTATATAACCTGAACACTAACCAAGTAACACAGAATTAGAGAGCATCTGATAAGTGTAGAATCTGTGCTAAGATCATAAATCACAAAATGATAAATTCAGTATCTAAGCTATTTTAAACAGTAAGTAACATTCCCTATAAAGAGAGAAGCAATTTTTTTTAACATTTTAGAACCTTACCTGATTAAGCATCCACTTCAATCCAACAGCAGAGGTGCACTCGTTCTTAGAAGCACTACTCAACCAATCTAAGTTATACACTTTGTCCAAGGTCTCAAAAATGGTCGTCACATTAGCCCTCCTATCTTTAACCGAAAAGATCTCCCCATTCGAGCTTATGTTAGTATGATTGTTAAGTAAAGTCTCAAACCAGCCGCTACCAGATCTCTGCATCGAGAGAATAGCAAAATACCTAACGGGATTGCACGAACATTCCTCCCTAACCAAAATTCCAACCCACAAAATCAACACATATGCATTACAAACCAAAACCAAAATCAAAGAACTCTCATTTTACCTGCTATAAGTCTTAGGTTTAGGATAATGGACATAAGGTATGTCCCAAGGTTCAATGTTAGGCTCAGGACACTGTCTCTCAAACACTTCAACATTCAAGAATCCAGCACTAGGGACAACACCAATTTGCTTCAAACAAATAGAGCAAATATAAACAGTACAAACCATCACAAACAAGAGAACAACCGTTCTTAACACAAGTGGTGATTTTTTAGGAAGCTTGAAGACAAAACTATCCTGCAACCAAAAAAAAAAAACACAACACATGTTAAGTGACTTGTTTTTGCTTATTTTAGAAACAAAAACCTTAATTCAAGGGCAAAACACAACATGGGTATCATTAAATTTGCTTTAAAGAAAACCAAAATTCAAAATTACATAAGACCCAGATGCAAAAAGTTTCAATTTTTACAGAATCGTTTAATGAAAACTCGTGAAAATGATGGGTTTGATTACTCAAAAGAAGAAACCCTAATCAGATTAAGTGTAAAGAAAGGAGACCCAGAAAACAAAAAGGTACCTTTGGGATGAGAGAGTGTTCGTCGCCCATGGCTGTTGCTTCGATGGAGAGATAGAGAGAGAGAAGGAGAAAGAGAGAGAGATTTAGAAAGGCATTGAATGATTCAGATTTCAGACACAGTCCAGCTAAAAAAAAAAAAACACAATAATGAAAAAAATTGGAAACACGAAAGTGGCTTTTCTTTGATCAGCCCATACAAATTATAAAATTCAGGGGGAAAAAAAAAACGAAGAAATTTTGGTTTATAAAACAATGATTAGAGAAGGCCAAGAACGTTGATGTTGCTTTGAATTTACGGATCTTTAGAATAATTAAAGATTATTAGTTTTGGTTCTTGGGAATTTAGATGTTTGCACTTACACAGGAGAAAAAGAAAATTAAGAAACTTTTTGGGAATTGAAGCGCAAAGTTCGAGAACGAAGCTCTTGAGCTATGAAACGGTGCCGTTTTGGATGATTCCGACATTTTTTTTTCTTTTTTTTCTAATTATAATGTTTTTATTTAAGAAGCATCAGGTAGAGAGGAGATTGTATTAGTATTTTAAGAACGTGTGACCCATTCCATTTTTTTAGGTTTGACTTATGCTTTGCTTTTTTAGTTATTGGATTCTTCGGATTTTTGGGTTAATGTTTTGACTTAATCCACATAGTAAGATCTCTTGTTTTCCTCTACGTTTAGTTTTTCTCAAGTTGGGTAATTGTGAACGTAATTTGACAACTGACAAATTGTATATAGAGTGCTCCGAACTAGAGACCCAGGGCAGACAAAGCCAGCCCCGTCTCTGCCCATAGGCAACATGGGCTTTTGCCATGGGTCCATATCCAATTTCAAATTTTTCTTCAAGTAAAAAGGGCCCAATTTTAAAAAAAAATTATTTTTAGTAAGAATTTTTCTTTTTTTTTTGGTTTTGATAAGGGCCCTCAAATTAATTAAGACGGTACTGGACAAAGCATCATGCTTTAGGCCACATTTAAAACTAAAATTTTGAGGCCACAATATCCAAAAGTAAATCTGTTATATATATGGAAAAAAAGGTATTCAGCTACACAAAATATAACGGAATACATGGTTACACATGTCAAATTTAGAAATGTACAACCAACTACACGAACTAGATGTATTGCATGCTCACATATACCAACTATATGATGTCATGTGGTCAACATCACGAACATCTTATTATATTACACTAATCATCGAAATCCGGCGTTAACCGTTGTTGACCGGTATTGACCAACAAAAATATTCAAAAAAATTATTTTTATTTGTTTTAATATTCTATTGAATCTTTTATGATATTGTATAATTAAAGAAGAAATTACATTCTATATTCAACATAAATAAATTTTGTTTTAATACATTGATTATTATAATTAGTTAGTTTTTTCAATTTCAAAACTAAAATAAAAGTGAAATAAAAATAATTACGCGAATTACTTATTTTTACATTGTCAATAAAAACATTAACTTATTATTTTACAAATGTTTTTGCTGACATCAATATAATTAGATTTTCTATTTGCTATATATTAAAAAAAAATTACAACATTTTTTGTTGTTTACGCGTTATTACGAGAATGTTTTTTAATAATTTTAATTACAAAAATTACCAATGTATAATATTTAGACTAAAGAGTATGTAAACTTTTCTATATTTTTTAATTATGTATTATGATTTTGATTTTAGCAAAAAACTTTATATTTTTTACCATGCCAACTTTAGATTAAAGAGTCATATACTCAATTTTTCTAATATAATTAATAAAATTTATTTTATTTCAATTTTAATTTAGTTTTGAAGTTGAAAAAATTAACTAAGATTTTTATAAATATACTAAATTATATAAGAAATTTGAAAAGTACACTAAGTGTTATAGTAATTTGAATACTACTCTATTTATATTGAGAATTTACCATAATACCCTTCTTATTAATTTAAGCATTTTCTAAATTAATAAATTAAAAATAATATATTTTTTTAAAAAATAAGTAAAATTCGTTATTATTTAATAATAATAATCAAAAAATTTATTTACAATGTTTGGAGTAATCATTATCTAAATTTTGAATAGATAAAAATATAAAATATTATTTTTTATAAAACTAGTAAGATTTGTAATTTACTTAAAATCAATAATTAAAAATTATTTAAATTATAATAAATAAACAAAAAGTTCTTCTTATTTTTTGGTAAATTTATTCATCCTAGGTTGATTTATTGATAAAGTCGATTTTTTTTAACTTTCGACTTATTTTCCATTTTTTGACTTAATTTTCTTTCTTGTCGATTTATTTTACAACACTCGACTTATATTTTGACTAGTTGATTTATAAAATAGTCGATTTTTTGATCTATTGACTTGTTTATTGATTTATAATTTTTGCTGTCGACATGTTTATTCATGGTAAACTTAATTCATTATATGTTGATTTATTAATAATGTCGATTTTTTTAACTGTCGACTTATATTTCATTTCGTCGACTAAATTTATTTTCTATCGATTTATTTTAAAACGGTCGACTTATATTTTGGTTGATTGATATTTGACTTAGTCGACTTTTTTAAACTATTAACTTATGTAATTTTACATCGATTTATTGATAACGTTGATTTGTTGAACTGTTGACTAATATTTTATTTTTGTCGACTTAATTTCTTTTCCTATCATCTTATATTAAAACAGCTGACTTGTATTTTAGTTAATTGATTTTTTACATTTTCGATTTTTTGAACTGTTGATTTATATTTTTAGTAGAGATATTCATTTTTAGTTATAATAGTTAAATAAATAATTTATTTTAGAGTAATTAAATTTAAATTATATAATTTATTTTCGTAGCAAATTTAAAATAAATATAGTGCATATATATTCGAAAATATTAACAATGACAAAATCTAAAAAATATTTTTAAATTATATATAGTAAAAGTTCGTAGTTAATATTAAACAAATCATTATCCAAAAAATGTACTACATCAACCCAAAATCTAGATAATTTTATTATATAATTAAAAGTCATAATTTATATCATAATTATTAGTTTTAGTTTCATCATTAACATTTTCACAAAATAATAATAAAAAATTTTGAGTTAATAATTTTTTTTTAATATGAACAGTTTAGTTTTGAATTTTAAATAATATTTGTAAAAACTAACTAATCAAATTATTTTATTTTCGTTTTCTGAATTTTTAGTTATTAACTAAGGACAAAAATGTCATTTTGGAAAAAGAGTAAGATACATCTCAAATTTTTTAAAATTATAGTATACATTTCAAATTTCTAATAAAATTTAGGGCATACAATCCAATTATTCCATATTAGAATCATACAAAATATTTTTTGTTAAATATAGAATGTGTTTTTAATTATTATACAACACCATAAATGATTCAATAGAATAATTCTTTAAAAATAAATAAAAATATTTTTTTGAATATTTTTGTTGGTCAATGCTGGTCAATACCGGTCAACGATGGTCAACGCCGAATTTTGATGATTGGTGTAACAGAAAAAAATGTTCGTGATGTTGAGCACATGTCGTCATACAGTTGGTATATGTGGGCATGCAATATATTTATTTCGTGTAGTTGGTTGTACATTTCTAAAATTGGCATGTGTAACCATGTATTCCGTTATACTTAGTGTAGCTTAGTATTTTTTTCCTATATATATTGACATTTGTGTTATGTTTCTCTTAATAAGAAAGATGTCTCACGACTTCAGATGATTCATATACTTTCCATTTTTACTTATTCCATATCTTTTAAATTTAATATTTCCTTTGTAGTTTATATATTTTCAATTCTCACCAAAGTCTATCATCTCTCATTTTTTTCAACATTTAAAATGATATTATAATCAAAGTGGAACTACATGTAATTGAAAACTAAACAATTTCATATCAGAAGTATATAAATTTAATACAAACTTTATTTTTTAAGTACGATTTATTTAGTTTTGCACTATAAAATTAAAAATCTAGTAAGTTTTACATTTTATTTTCAGAAAATTTATAAGTAAAAATATACATTTAAATTGTTTTTAAGATAAGGCTACATGTTCAATGATTTGCTTTATGCCTCCCACACATTAGGACCGGCCCTGTAGAGACCCAAACAAGAACAGTATAGGTTTAGATCATTCATGTGTATTCTCAATAGATTGTACAAGCTATACAAGATATGTAAACGATATATCAGAAGGTTTTTAGGACTTCAAGTGTCAAGAACACCTAATTTGTGTAAAGGTTTTCTTAATCTTATTCATGCGGCCAATGTGGCTTTTATACAACATACACAAAAACGTTTAACCTAATTCCTTTGTACACTAATAGCTTATGGGCCAAGTAATAACATATCGAGGTCCATTTAGCTAAATACAAGCCCATAACATCCGTAATACCCCCCCCCCCCCCTCAAGTTGGAGTATGGAGATCACGAATACCCAACTTGAGTAAAAAATCTTCAAACTCCCGTCGACCAAGAGCCTTAGTAAGAATGTCCGCGAGTTGTTGCTTTGTAGGAACATGATGCGGATATATGACGCCTCGGACTATCTCATCACGGATGAAATGATATTCTTTGGCAACGTGTTTCGTTCTCGCATGATTCACCGGGTTCTTACTCAAATGAATGGCGGACATGTTATCACAATAGAGAGGAATAATGTAAGAACAATCCACCCCGAGAGTCGTGAGCAATTCCCGTAGCCACAAGACTTCACTAACCGTGTCTCCCATGGCCTTGTATTTGGCCTCAATTGAAGACCGAGAAACCGTATCCTGCTTCTGTGTTTTCCAAGACAAAGGAGAGCCACCAAGTTGAATAAACCAAGCTGTGAGTGAACGGCTAGTGTCAGGACAAGTTGCATAATCCGAATCACACCAAGCCGTAATCTTCAAATCACCACCAGCCCGTAAGAAAATGCCCTGTCCCGGATTGCCCTTCAAGTAACGTATGACCCTTAGTACAGCATCCCAATGCTCTGTTTTTGGTGCATTCATAAACTGAGAAAGGAGATGAATCGTGTATGATAACTCAGGTCTCGTATGGGCCAAATAAATGAGACGTCCAACCAAACGACGATAACGAGACGGATCCGGAAACGCAGCACTCGTTGTAGTTGCGAGCTTATGATTCTGTTCAATAGGATGCGAAGCCGGTTTTGCTCCAAGTAACCCCGTCTCAGAGAGAAGATCCAAAATGTATTTTCTTTGACTCAAATACATACCTTGAGGACCCCGAGCCACTTCAATACCCAAAAAATATTTTAACCACCCGAGATCTTTCATCTTGAAAGTAGAGCACAAATAGTCTTTGAACTTCTGAATAATATCCACGGAGCTGCCGGAGACGATGAGGTCATCGACATAAACAAGAACATGAAGTCTAAGATCACCATTCGCATCCTCAAGTGTGAATAATGAATAGTCAAAAAGTGATTGTTCAAAACCATATTCTTTTAAAGCC